AGATGTTTCATAAGAAGTGCTGCAGTGCCCTTGCCTAAGAAAATGTAGGACATTGGAAAATGAAAATTAAAAACACTCATATTCATGCCTCTTAGGCTCAAAATGTAGGACATTGGGAAATAAAAGCTAAAAACACTCGTGTCAATGTAAATTCATGCTTCTTAGTCAGAATAGAGGACATTTGGAATTACTCTTGGACAGAAGGGTGAAATGTAGGATATGTCCTGGAAAAGGAGGACATCTAATCACCCTGTCTCCACCACCTCCCCATACTCTTGAATAGTTCTTTTTAGAAATTAACTTTTCTTGGCATGACAAATGGAAAAATAATTGAACACTGCCCCCAAGTATCAGTCCCATGCCATCCATTCATGTTTGCAAAAGCCACTTCTTGGCCAACAGCCTGTCTCAGCTAAACTGAGCTGTTTAAGAGCTAAGATTTAATCCAAGTGGTTTTGGATTTAAAGGCTTGGAAGAAATAAATTCAGAGGGTGCTTTCATTCTGATATCAGACGCAAGGGAGCGCCCCTGGCTCAAATATCCCAGTGAAACTCAAATATTCCTCTCTCTTGGCTCTTAATACTGCAGCCAAGTATCTACAGACAGAAAAACCCTTCTCTCTCCAAACTGCAAAATAATATCTGTACCTCAACAGATCTTGTGTTAAAACAGCAACAGCAACCATACCGCAATGCTAACTGCTGGTCTGCTCAAGGGAAAGAAAGTAACGTTAGTTACTTCTTTATAGTAACTAGATTTTTATAAAACATATCCAGGCATAGCTGTGTTAGCCATATAGCAAAATCCAATAACACTTAAAATCTACCCAAGTGTGATGCCTTTATTGGGCCTACCAAAATGCACATTGTGCATTTGGTGGATTTTGGATCTTATAGACTTATTCGGATTTCTCTCTGGTCATTATTTGCAGTTATAAATAAATTTCTCTGAAGATGCCAGCCACAGATGCAGGTGAAACGTCAGGAATACATTCTTCTAGAACACACGGCCTCACAGCCTAAAAAACCCACAAAAACATATAGTTATAAATTAATTGCCAGCATCTTCTGAAAAGAGAGAATAGTAATATTTTTACTTGTATTGGAAAGCTTTTTTGTTGCTGGTCAACTAGTAATACTTTCTTGTCTTCCATTGCCTATTTCCTATTAATAGTACAGTAGGTCTCCATATATAGATAGATATATAGATTGTTGTTGCTATGTGCCTTCAAGTCGCTCCTGGAGACCCTATAAGGCCTTATCATGGGGTTTTCTTGGCAAGATTTGTTCAGGAGAGGTTTGCCCTTGCCTTCCTCTGAGGCTGAGAGAATGTGACTTTCCCAAGGTCACCAGTGGGTCTCATGACTGAGCTGGGATTCAAACCCTGGTCTCCAGAGTCATAGGGGGGTTGCAGACTGCCAGAAATAGTGCAAATTGAGTCCACTTTTAGGGTTAGGGTTAGTGCTAGGGAATCATGGGAATTGTTTTTTCTCTGAGACATTGAGTCTTCTCTGTCAGAGAGCTCTGGTGCCACAATAAACTACAGTTCCCATGATTCCCTTAGCCTAACCCTAACCCTAAAAGTGGACTCCATTTGCACTATTTCTTGCAGTCTGCAACCCCCCATAGTCCAACGCTGGCTCTTAGATATAGATACATAGATAATAGATATTGATATTAGATATATTAATGATATGGCTATAGCTGCCCACCACTATCAGCTTGGAGTGGCTATTGTGGGAGGTACAGTCTTTTTGAAATGGATAATAGCTACAGCTATAGCTATGTCTGCATCTATATCTATATCTACCTATATGTGTGTGAGAAAGTATTCACATATAAAGACACAAACACACCCATATAATTGTTGTGTGCCTCAAAGTCATTTTTAACTTGTGGCGACTCAAAGGCGACCCTATCATAGGGTTTTCTTGGCACGTTTTCTCAGGGGAGGTTGGCCATGGCCATCCTCTGAGGCTGAGAGAGTGTGACTTGGACAAGGTCACCCCAGGAGGTTTTTATGCTCGAAGCGAGGAATCGAACCCTGGTCTCCAGGGTCCAAAGCACTCTGATTATCTCTCTTTCTCTGATTTATTTATTTCAAAAAGATTGCACCTTTTGCAAAGGGCATGCCAAGGTTGGTGTTGGCTTTCAAAGGCCAGGATCCAACCCTTGATTACTCATTTATTTGTGTTGTTTTCTTTTGTTTCAATATCAGTCCCATGGGGAAACAGGCAGGAAATCCCTTTCTACTGACCTTTGGTTTCCTTCTCCTGAAGCCTCTGTCATCATCATAAAAGAAAAAAAGGATTACATTGCCTCGGACTATTTCCTTATAGCGCTCTGGCTGCATCCACACTGCAGAAATAATCCGGTTCGACCCCACTTTAACGACCATGGATGACTCCATGCGATGGAATTTGGGGATTTGTGGTTTTGTGGGAGATTTTGCCTTCTCTGTCACAGAGCTCTGGTGACACAACAAACAACAATCCCGAGATTTCCATAGCATGGCCGTTAAAGTGGAGTCAAACCGGATTATTTCTGCAGTGTGGACACAGCCCTCCGTTTCCTTCGCTGTTGTAGCTAATGCGTGCTTTCAAGTCGCTTCCGATGTATATCTATACTGCAGCCACACAAGTCACACTCTCTCAGCCTCAGAGGATGGTCACAGTGGAGAATTAACTTGGTTTGGCACCACTTTAACTGCTCTGGCTCAAGGCTATGGAATTCTGGGAATTGGAGTTTGTATTCCTAGAATTCCATAGCCTTGAGCCAGGACAGTTAAAGCGGTGCCAAACCAGGTTATTCCTCCAGTGTGGATGCAGCCTATTTCTATTTATTTCCTCTCAGAGCTCTGATGCCACAACAAAATGCCATTCCTCGAAATTTTTTCCCATTGCATTGAGACATGGTACTTAAAGCGGTATCAAAGTGGATTATTTCTGCAGTACGGATCCAGCCTACGAAGCGGGGGCTGTAGTAGATACAACCCGATTGCACTGTACTCTGCATTTTTAAGGGGGACAAGATGACCTCATAGCACCCCAAGTAAGAATTCTGCCCCACAAAGGAAATTTTTCCATCAAAACTGCCTTCTTACTCAAATTTCTGGCTTTGGAGACAGATACAGACTTGGGCTGGATCCACATTGGAGAATTAACCCGGTTTCACACCACTTTAACTGCCTTGGCTCAATGCTAGGGAATGCTGGGAATGGCGGCTCCCAGAATTCCCTAGCATTTACCCAACGCCGTTAAAGCGGGATCAAACTGGATTATTTCTCCAGTATGGATGCACAGGATTTTTTTGTCCATTTTTAGGGTGCTCCGTCAAAAAAATGTCTTCCTCACCTCCAAGGAATATATGCAAGGTTAGCTGTGTTGGCCATTTAGCAAATTCCAACAAAAATCCATCAAACAGTGATACCTTTATTGGCCGACCAAAATGCACAATATACTTGTTGCAAGCTTTCGAAGCTCCACTGGCTTCTTCATCATCAGGCAAGATGTTACAAGCCAAACAGGAGAAAAAATGGAGATGTTAGTCAGATGCCTGCATTTTGGTGTTTCTGTCTTTAGTTATAAGAAGGTAAATGGAGGGTATCTTTTGCAGGCTGCCCCCCTCCCCACAAGACCAGGAAATTTAAAGTCCTCTACCTACAAAGATGCCTGTGATCTCATAGGAATGGATTGGATTGCAAGAGAGGGCTCCTTGCTGAGATGCAAATGGACTTTAAATGTCCTGGTCTTTGCAAATCTCCCAATAGCCACATGGCCAGAAGGAGGAGGGGGCAGCCTGCAAAAGATACCCTCCCCTTACCATCTTAACTAAGGACAGAAACATCAAAATGCAGGCATCTAACATCTCCATTTTTTTCTCCTGTTTGGTTTGTAACATCTTGCCTGATGATGAAGAAGCCAGTGGAGCTTCGAAAGCTTGCAACAAGTATATTGTGCATTTTGGTTGTCCAATAAAAGTATCACTCTTGGGTGGATTTCCAAGGAATATATGTTTCGGTTTCCTTAATCCAAAAGAAGGGCCTCCCCAGTTGTTCTATCCAGAAAAGAGTTGATCTGTAATCTCTTATAAAACGATATTCATTGGAAGCATTTCCTATTCAAAGCAATTTCTCTCTCTCTGGATCTGTTTAGACAAAAGGAGATGATGAGCTTCATGCTTTTCACACTTCTGACCAGAAATGCAAAGTATGCAGCAGTTTGGGAATAGAGAAATAGCCATGGATCTTTCTAAGATCCAGATGTTGCCCCTTGATGTGCTGCTGTTCGTTTGCTTTACTCACTATCTCTCTCTCTCTCTTTGGGTATAAAAATAAATATAAATAAATAAATAAATAAATGGAGATACTCTTCCTCCCAGCCTTGGAGGACGAGGAAGTATTGCTCTGCAGAGGGGTGGGATATTATTATTATTATTATTATTATTATTATTATTATTATTATTATTATTATTATTATATAAAATCACAGAGAGAGAGAGAGAGAGTTATAGATAGATCGATAATATAGATAGAGACAGAGATAGAGATAGAGATCTGATATATACTGATATGATACATCAGTAGTTCCCAAACTTTGGTCTTCCAGGTGCTTGGACTTCAATGCCCAGAAGCCCCAACTAGTTTTGACAACAGTCAGGAATTCTGGGAGATGAAGTCAAGAAGTCTGAAGGAGCACAGTTTGGGAACCACTATTATATATAGATACTGATAGATACTGATAGATAAAATATCATATATAGTGTGTGTGTGATTTTTTTCCCATCTATTAGTATCTATATGTCATAGTGGTTCCCAATCTGTGCTCCTTCAGACTTTTTGACTTCATCTCCCAGAATTCCTGACTGTTGCCAAAACTAGATATTAGTATATATCAGATATATATCACTATATATTTGTATATTATATATCTATTATATCTATCTATCTATCTAGATAGATAGATAGTTTTTTTAATCTATCAGTATATATTGACCTTTGGAGCCACTGTGGTGCTAGTGGTTTGAGCATTAGACTAGGACTAGGACTCAGAAGACCAGGGTTCGAATCCCGGCTGGGCCATGTAAACCCACTGGGTGACCTTGAGCAAGTCACACTCTCTCAGCCTCAGGGGAAGGCCATGGCAAACCCCCTCTGAAGAAACTTGCCAAGAAAACCCCATGATAGGTTCACCTTTGGGTCGCCATAAGTTGGGAACGACTTGAAGGCACAAATCAACTCTCTCTCTCTCTCTCTCTCTCTCTCTCTCTCTCTTTCTCTCTCTTATCTGTGTGTGAGCCGCCTTAGGTCCCTTGGGGGGCCAGAGGCAACATACAAATAAAATAAAATAAAATAAAATAAAATAAAATAAAATAAAATAAAATATTGTTGTATGCCTTCAACAACAGGCACGGTTTGTAAAGAAAATGATAGATAGATAGATAGATAGATAGATAGATACGTGTTAAAATTATACGTGAAATCAGAGTTATGTCTCGTGAGTGTTCTGCAATTCTTGTCCTGTGAATTTCTTTTCGGAGTGTGTGTGTGTGTTGAAACTTGAGGGCCGATGTACACAGTAAACATAACATTTTGGGGTGTACCACAACAGATTGCAGGGTGTGTGTGTGAGTACGTGTGTGTAAAAAAAAAAA